TCAGCATGTATCTTCCATGTGCTGTTAACGATCACTTCCAGATAAAAAAAATCCAAACCCATAGCAAGCAACGAACAAAAGGGTTTATTAATTAGCAAAGCAAAGCAAATGCAATGCACTGTAGTGTCTGTGGTGCAAAACTTTTGAAACAAAATATTTCAATAACATGAATGCTGAAAGGTGTAAAATCTACAAAGCAGTTTTAGCTGTGAAGCTCAAAAAAACCTGTTACATGTTCCTGAGGGTTTTTAAAGCACAAGAACAACTCCATGCTCCAAAATAGATTCCTTCGCCTTCACATTCCTATTTCTGTCCCATGTTTACTCACTGCAAATTCTATCTTTGGCTTGATGCCTCATATGCCTGTTAACTAACTACTCTGTTATATGTAATTGTTTAGTTGCTTGAATATTTGTATACCACATACAAAAGGTGAAAACTCAAACAAGACTCTGGTGAAAAAAAATCAACGCATAAATGCTAAAAATTCAGGTATCTATAAATGTACATTAAAGTCCATGGTTACTGGAAAGCAAGACACCTTCTAAAAGTGTTCATATTATCTCCCACAACTACCTACTCACTCTGGCATTTTTAAATACCAGATCAGTTACATCATTCTTAGTAGCAGATATAACAGCTTCATATCTTTTATCCAAGCATAGGCACAACTAATGAAGATTTTAACTCTCATTCATAATGAAAAATAATAGTCTTTTAGAAAGGCTTGAAAGCTGAAGAATTCCCTGATGACAAATTTGGGTGTTTGAAATGTTATCAGGATAAAAACTCATTTTATTTTTACATAAAAGACAGAAGTCATTAAGAACCACTCTCCACAGATTTCAAGCATACAGGAGGGAGGGAAATTAATTAGTTTCTTATCACAAACCAAAAAAGAAACTGAAAAAGAACCAAGGGGGATTTAAAAACTAAAAACCCTGGTACTTAAATATACAAGTAATGTAAATTAATATACCTGTAATATAAATATATAAAATGCTGTATCTTCAGAAAAAAACAGATGCTGATGAGAAAAAGAATTAAGGTCCTCACAATAGGAAAAGAGAAAATTATATACAGGCAGTCAAGAAGAAGAAAATATAAACAGAAATTTGTATATATATTTTAATGGTTGTAATAGGACAAATTTAATTTAGAAATAATTGGTAAACTTTAAAATAATAAAGTCCCCGAAGAAAAGCATTAAACAATTTGTTGGAAAATTTGATAAAACACAAAGTAAATATCCTACTGCCATACTTAGAGAGTGTGGATAAGCTCTCAGAGTTGAGAATGGTCTTTTCAAAAGCACTGCTTTCAGACAAGAATTAGGAATCAGCACGAAAGTCTGGATAACAGGTTACTCCTCCTCTCCTCCTCCACCTGCATTAAAGCTAATGTTGCAGAGCACATGAAACATCAAATTGAAAATGGCAAAATTTGTCCTTTGTGCTCTTCACTGGTCACCCTCTGCACTGAATCCCTAACACAAAAATACGCTGCTATAACAGGACAACGTGAGATACAATTAATCAAAAGAACATGAAATTGTCCTGTGTCCCAATGATACAGTACTAATGGCTACCTTTGTTGCAAAACATTTGCCTTACATTTCGAAGGGAATTAATCAAACATAGTGATAAATCATATTATATAATTAAACATTATTAATGCTGGGAGCCAAGATTACTGAGCTCCTAGGTAACATCACATCTTGTGTGATGTTAAGAATCGCATGACATTACTGAGGAGAAAATAGTTTTCCTAATGTTAAAAATGAACGCAATCTAATCTCCCTCTGCTGTTTCAAAATTGCAAAGTGATTAACTGGAATGGAAGAGTAACACAGGACTAATTCTCCATTTATCACGGCCAGGTCATAAAATGCTAGTCATGTCCACAATAGGTTCATTTCAGGGCTTAGCTCAAAAGAGGTTACTGACTTCGGAAAAGGGCACTGCTGACATTGTTGGAAGCCAGATTTTTGACCACATATTTTATGGAAAAGAGGATATCCTCTCAGTGTTAATGCTATAGATTAAAAAAAAAAAAAAAAGGAAGGGATAAAATATTTTCAATTTTAAAAAGCTGGCCAAGATCACTTAGCTTTTACAATTCGCTATTGCCATTTGCAGTATCTGTGAGAATTCAATATCTAGATATTAAGAGGTGGACCAACACAAGTCTTTTCTGAGCAACAAATAAAGCTGATGAACAAAATCTATGAATATTTGCTTGGAAAGTTAAGATATGCCAATGAGAACTCAGTGTGTTTTAAATAGTCACAGAAAGCCATCTCAAGTATGACTACTGAATATCAGCAGAAATGCAACATGCCCACAAACAGCAGTACTGTTTTTATCCCACCCATATATAGCACATGTTTCTGATACTCTAATATGCAGATTGCAGGTGGGAGTTTTCCAGGTTCAAAGCTAGCTTTTCCATTGAGTGGCATGTTCTTTAAGTCCATTTTTCAACCCACCTAATTTTAGGCACTTAGTGGAGGGGCTAAAGTTAGAAACCTAGTCATCCCAAACTCTCTCTACAGGCTGTGGGAAGAGATAGTCAGTGGTGAAGGGCTGATAAGATTTCACTGCAGCTGAATTACATCTAGTGAATGCCTATTCATTATTCAGACAGAAGCTATCTGCATATTAGCACTCCCAGTGTTTGAATTTCGTTTGTAACAAACAAATTCCATCTAATCATTAAAAGAGCTGTATACTTTCTCCCCTTATTCAATCCTCTCAGTAGCTGGCTCTGTGAACAGCAACTCCCTGGCCTCTTAATCATCATTCCTTCTATATTTATTATCTTTCTAAAGAGATAATTCTACCTCTTTTCTCCTCTTGTTTCCTCAGGTGGCAAATAAGTAAAATCTACTCTCTAAGAGAGTACCACAACAGAGCGGGGTTATTTTTATAACTAGAGGTGGATGAGAAACTTGTCCACCTAATGGCTTAGATTACTTTAAAATTACACATAACTCCCAAATACTTTGATTAGCGTTCAATAATTTTCTATTCTCACAGTCAAAACCTCTGCTGGAAGCCTGGGAACGTATCATTATTTATCAATTTTACTCCAAAAAGCAAAATCTCTGACAAAGAAGTTGTTGGCAGTTACAGTTAAACAATTTCACAGGATGATACAGTAAGTATTGGAAAATGGCAATAGGAAAAATAAGGGCATTTATTGCCTTTTGCATTTCAACAATTTAAAAATATGAAGACAGGAAGCTATCTAGTCATTGCATATAGTGTAATGATACATTTTCCAAGCCAAATATAGTTGACTAAATAAAGGCAGAAACATGGACTGCAACTGCAAAAATAGAACCGAGGAAATATATGTGTGGGGGGAAGCCAACAAACTGAAACCTACTTGAATTTTAAACATCTTTAGACATAATAATAATAATAATAATGGCCAGTCTTCGCGAGCGAAGATTTGGGAAAGGTCATTAACCCTTCGAGCCTGCGCAGTGGATTTTTTAGGTGAGACCCAGCGTGCGCTGAACTGAGCCCACCCTTTAATCCTGAGGTTCATCTGCCGGGGCCGAGCAAGCTTGGACAGTGGCAGTGAGGGCCCCAGGACGCAGGTTTGTTTAGAGTGACCTTCTCTTAGATGGATTGCCTCACAGGGCTGACGAGCTCCATCTGCCCGGGGGGCTGGGAATCGAACCCGGGTCGCAGCGGTGAGAGTCCTGCACCCTAACCACTAGACCACCAGGGGCCCCGTAATTGTCTTCTGATTGCTAAGTTACAATACACACTTAATAAAAGATTTGCTTTGGAAAAAATAAAAAAAAAACCAAACCAACAAACCAAAACAACATATATCCTGAGACAAAAGAAAACTTATTCCTACAGTTTCAGGTCTACATGCCACCATAGGCACTCAGAAAACCTAGCTATAGAGCTTTTTTCATTAGCAGTTTCAGTGTTCTAGGTAAACTCCACACCCAAGAGACTCCAGGTATTTACTTCACACGTTAAAGTATTTGTCATATATGCAATGTACTAGCTTTCATTTGGGGGGGAGGGGGGAAGGGGCAGGGAAAGTCATGTGAATTCTCTTTCTTTATTACATCCTATAAGAATCTGAGAGGCAACTCCACAACCAGTCTTGCAGCAGACCTTTTCACCCGTGCAGGGCCCCACAGCGTTTACTGGGATTTATTGTGATGCATACAGATACTACACTATAAACACTTCAGAAGAGGTACTATATTTTCTTTGAATTTTTTTTTTATTATTTTTTTGCATTGTGAGAAGCTAACAAACCTTTTGGAATAAATTAGTTAATAAAAATACACCATGTAAGTATAAAACGGAATTCTATTTCAGTTCTCTCATTAAATCTTTTATTGCTTACTATGCACTAGGATAGGATTTGCTTTGTAAAATATCTAAGACAAAGATCAGAAGCAAGCAAATACATGCTTGTCTCATTTATAATATTTTTAAGGAGTCAGTTAAGTTCAGTGAAGCCCATTAATTAACAATTATGTGGAAATAGTACAAGATTATAGAAATTTTTCTCATTTGCTTCAGAAGGCTTGTTTTAAATTCAGTAAATCAGAATGCCTAGATTAATTTCAAACCAAACCTGAACCCTGCTACCATTATCTTCCTTCTAATTCTGATCATCTTCACTATTCATATTTCATGACATATGTCATGCACCGTAACACCATTATAGAATACACTGCATGAAAACAGATTTAAAAAAACCCAAATGACCCGCAGCAGAAGTTTTGCAGTCAAAGAAAATCCCATATTGCTGAGGGCTTCTCACAGAGCTAAACCACCCTGAAAGGATACCTGTGATGTATGGAAAGTCGTGAGGGAGTAAATGCACGTTTTGGCCTATAGGCTAAAAAAGGAACATGTTCTTTTTCACCCTTATGTTGTGTACACAACGCTTTAGCACACAACTGAGAGAAATTCATGGAGAACCAAGAATGAAAGGAATTTATGCAAATAACCCACCTGAAATCATGAATCTTCTTTCAGCACTAGGAAGTGTGTGCTAATGCGTCCTACATGCAGCAAAGCCAGCAGTTAGCACTCAGTACTGGGTGTAACAGGAGTAAGAAGACAGAGTATCTGCAGGAACAGAATTAAACTGGCGTTATTCCTGATTTTAAATGGGGGAGGAGAATTTAATTCAAGAAGCCTATTCTGTTCCTGGCAATTATTTGCACTGGGAAAGCACTAGACTGCTGCTTTCCCAACTAATAGGTCTTGCACGTATGATTGCACTGGAGCACTCCTGATTGAATGACTAAAGGGAACTTGACCTCCTCCCCACTCATATTTTCAAGCTGCAGAAAGAGGTACCCTCTCTAATGTCCAATTAGAAATGGGGCAGATTGAGAGGCAACAATTGAGTGGTAAGGCACAATCAGTCACAGCCACAGATCTCACTCAGAGTGCCATAAATATGACACAACCGTCTCAAAGAAACTATGCTCATGCTTACCAGATGCTAACAACATCCATTTCATTTAGTTTTGCCTTCTGCACAGTGAAAAATATTGTAATTTTGTAGGAATTACTGTCAAACTCACAGCTCTAATTACATTCTGCCATTTTAAAGTGCTTGCATATGCATTTAATGCTTCCAAAGATGTCACCCTGAATACTGAAATTCTCTGTTCATTCACAGAAGACACACAGTATTAACAGCCAACACAAGAGCAGTTTAATGTAAGACAACTCACCAAGGAAAGTAAGGTTCAAGCAAACATTTTTCCACTTTAAAATCTGAGGTTCACTTATGCATTTACATTTGCAGTATTGCAAAATACCCAGATTCTACCTTTTAATCTGCTTCATGCAGCAGGAAGAACTTTGGCTTCACCAAAAAGCATGTTGAAGAACTGTTGATTTTAGACTAAGCTTCACAATTTTCCCTTTTATCTTTATTTTGGTCACCTTAAAAGTAAAGCAAATACAAGGGCAAAAATAACTTGATGCTCTTACTGTCTAACTTCTTCACTTGTGCTTTTAATTGCCAGAGTAGAGTAAGTTCAGCACTTGGTTGCTGGGTTGTACAATCCATAAAGCAATTTATATACTCTCTAAAAAAAATTTAATTTTGGGCAACAGTTGGAGCAAAACACATCCTTATCCTGTCACAAGTTGAGACTTGAACATAAAAAGCATTCCACGCTGATAAAACCATATGTCTTCAAGGAACATGTTGTATTTATAAAAGCTCAATCATATGATTGACTATATTTAAAAAAGTAGCATATTTAAACATATTTAAAGCCTTACTACCTAGCATATCTCTTGGAAGCATCACAAAACTCACACTTTGTAAGGTACTCTGAAACAGGGTAGTGATGAGAAGTTCATGCTTCGGAAAATTTGGGTAAACTATGGATTTGTTTAAGCATCTCTACCAGTCTTCAACTGAATGGTGAGGAACCTTACAACCACTTAATATCCTTCAGGAAGACTTTTCCCCTCTCACATCCTACTGCATCTCCAGAAAGGAGCTGACTGCATTGACAAACCAACTCTATGGAATCACCACATTCCCAATTCCCACGTTCAGTCCAATGGCTCTGATTTAATTGTACCTTTTGAAAAAGTACATTATTGAACACCCTGAAGTTTAATTTTTTTCCACTCTTCCAGATATTAGGTTGAGGGCTTAAATAAGGGGATACAGCTTCAAGTTAATTAAAGGCTGTCATTAGTTGTTGCTAATTTACAGTAATTGGCTTTGGTTATATACTGAGTAGATAAATGAGAGCACATGTTTAACTAACAGATGATACATTACAGGACTGTTTCCTTTAATTTATCATCAATCATATGGAGCATTTTTTATAACAAGTTTATTTTAGCATTATTCCATTCCAAAATTCTTCACTCAAATCTTTTTTTTTCCCCCTTGTTTCTCCATATGCTGATTGAAAAAATGTTAAAAGGTACCATGGTAACGCTTGCTATGCTGTAAGGCATATTGAAGAAAGTTGTCATACCCCTCAGGCATAACTAAGACATAAAAAAATGCACAATAATGTCGGAAGAACACTCCAGAGACATAGTGATAGTATCCAGACATACTATATTAGGAGATTTCATAGATTTGTTAATTATATATATATTTTACATTAAGAAATTATCATACAGAGAGAGTGGAAAAAGTGTCCATGACGAATGACAATTGGGTATTTCACAGATGCAAAACATTTTGCTGTTTAAAATAGAGTTCAAGTGCTCTCAAAGTGTGAACTGGCATTTCTAAAATCTAAACTTCACTGCTTAGCATTGAACTACTGACGTCAATGATCAATGCCATTAAAAGACAAGTGATATGCATAAGGATTAATTTTGAGGGACAACAAGTTTATCCGCCTGAAAATTCAAAAGCACATACTGGTTTTGTCTTTATGAAAACCCATCTCTGTCACCAAAGACCTAGACCAGCTACATTGTTTAGACTCCTCTTGTGCCCTTAAAAATTAAATTAACCCCATCTTCGCTGTACAGATTAGTGGCTGATATCAAGCAAGAGAAAACAGCATGATCAAGCCAGAGCATTAATCCCATATGCAACCTTTCATCTCAGAATAAAAAGCACACACCTAAATCCATACCGTGCTTGCACATTTCTGCCAACTGGACCCCAGGGAGAAAGAACTCCTTCTCATGGGTTCAGGCTGGACAACAAGCCTGAGTTCATGCTTTATTATTTAATTTTCTTTCAACTGCAACCCCACCCCACATATAATAATAACAACATATAGTAGTAATATATAATAGTAATAACAGACCAGTGTCACCTTTATTTTTCCAATGGGGACTCACTTCAGATTTGTTTTGCATTATGGATATGTACAAAATGGTAGACTTGACAACACAAGGTCTCTGAAATCCATTTCTTCTCACATGAAATGAAATGTTTCCTATCTGTCAAGACCCAAACTCCAAGTATAACACTGCCTATGCAAAGCAGAATAAATTCTGGAAGCAGTTTGTGAAACCCTGAACCAAAAAAATAAAGTGACTTAATCTCAGGAAACAATTCAGGTGTGTCCTGAAACACACCCTTATTTCTGGTATCTTCCCAAAACAGACTTCTAAGTCCAAACCCAACGTGCATTCTCCAAGTTGTATGCATTTTATGGCTTTTTTTTAAAAAGTACTGTTCCAGATTTACAGCCTTACCATACTGCAGTTGCAAACCAAGAGCAGTGACAACATCTAACCCAGTTCCTTCTGAAGACAGCTGCAGAGTTTGATAGTAAAGTTATATTCTATTGGAAAGGTATATATACCAAAGACTTAGTAATGGCCTTAACATACCAATTTATAAGGTAATCTGTTTAAACTGAGGAGCATGAAAGGGGAAGCTCTGACCAGGTTTGCATGACTATGGCAACTGTATGTTGCAGATTCTGTAAAAATGTGGCTGCAATCCATTTCCACCACCCACTGCAGTTTCAACAGGAAATAAATCTGTGGTATGTTTTGGCCAGTCCTTGGTCTGCACTGTTGTGGGAAACGAAACAGGTGTTCAGGCTAGAGGCCCTGAAACAGCAACTCAACCAGAGGCCTCTGAGATAACGCTGGAATCTACCAAGCGATCTTGTAAGGGAGAAAAGAAGCTGCTACCTGTGATGAGTACCTACAACCAAAGTTTAAAATAAGAAAGAAGAGACTGTTTAAGTTAACACCACTTATGAGATACATACCGGTATATATTTAGCAATAGTTGTGTGTTGTCAAACAGTTTGAATAGAGTGTGTAAATTGAAAAGATGTGTGTAACAGTGTATGAAATAGATCCCTGCATGCCTCTTTTCCTGTAGCCTAGAAATCATTGTGCTAGGTGTGATAAAAATGTCTTAATATAAACACTGCAAGCCTTTTCCACCATTATCCGGGGACGACGAGGACAGAAGAATAAAGCCTCTGTTTTAGTGATGCAGTCAGATTGTCTTATTTAACAACTAAAGACGGTTTAAAAAGTGCAGAACTGTGTCAGATAGATTTTTAGGCGTTGGCATGCTGTAAAGGAACGGAGAGCCATGCATCCTGGCAGGCATGTCCCACGGGTATTGATGTACGTGAAGTTCCACAGTGCAGATTCAGTCAAAAATGCCAACCAAGTTTACACGTCCCCACCCCTCTGCCTGCCAAAAACTTGCACTGAGGTGGTTATGTTACCAAACACCTCATTCCAGAAGGCATGGCAAGAGACAAATTCACAGTATTTTTTTCTGCCTTCTCAAAGAATCAAGCTATCATCTCCCACAGCCTTTAATGTTTCATCTAAGATTAAAATCAGCATGGCCAGCAGTAAGTATAGGGATTTTTTCTTCAAAAAAAAATGAGAGAATTCATAAAGTCTGAACTACCAGCAGTATTTTGAGATGCAGTGCATTGTATAACCTCTGGCTTGAGGCTGAAGTCAGAGACAGTCATGCAGGCTTCAGCTCTGTGCTGTAGAGCAGGTAGGATGAGTGGGACCAGTGAGTCAAGAGTGACATTGCTGTGCCAGAATTCCACCATCACAGAGGGGAGGTGAGTTGGAAAAAACGGTTTGGGGGAGAAGGGAAACTGAAAAAAAGACAAAAAAAGGAGGTATTATAGAACTGACAATTCTAAGATACAGTCGAAAAATTTTAGTGTCAGGGAAAAGCCAGGACCAAGAGCTACCTAAGAGAAGGCGTGCTGGGAGTCCAGTGTGATGGCACAGACAGCGGGTGTAGGATCCTGGGCCAGGCGCAGTCATGCCTGTGACACAGAGGGGACTGCAGCTCAGGCTCCCTGCAGTCTGGGGTTGACCCTGGCATATCCTCCCCGTGGTGCTGCCTGGGAGCCTCTTCTCACCACTGCCACTGGCAGGAAGGGATCACTGGCAGCTGCTCTGACTCAGCTGCTGCAGCCAAGTCCACACCAAGGGGGGGGCATGGTCCCACGACTCACAGACCGAGATGAAAGGGCTCAGACCCAGCCAGCACGGGTTTAGGAGGGGCAGGTCCTGTCTGACCAACCTGATCTCCTTTTATGATCAGGTGACCCTCCTGGTGGATGAGGGGAAGGCTGTGGATGTGTCTGTCTGGACTTCTGGGCTTCGGCAAA